CTTTTTCATCTATTTCTTCCAAATTATGTCATCCCCATTGAATTGCCACCTAAATCAAAATATGTACGTAATGAGTACATTTTGGCATTGATTAATCATACGAGCACATAAAATAAGGAGGGAAAAATATGTATTTTACATTCCTATCAAACACGAACGGGACCTCCAGAACTTGAAACAAAGGTGTTGAGTTTTGTCATCGTCTCTCCTCCGATGTTTAAGTTAGCAAATGAGGAAATGTAAACATTAAGCTATAAAAAAAAAATCTTTAAGTAGATCATTTGATCAATGATTTGCTTATTAACGAAGGCAATGTGTAAGAATACATAATGACATGCATGATTATTATGTCCATATAGTATGTGTAGCCTACTGAGTATTTTCTTGAGATGCTCATTCCTATTTAACATTTTCAGAATGATCGGAGATCCTGCAGTGGCTCGGCATTGATGGCATATTATAGAGAGATTTACTTCTCACATCTTAGATTGTCTTTTTTTTTTTGGTCAATAATCCTTGTGGAGTCTGATGACTGAAAATTTTAAAGTTTGAACCCGTGGCTTTTGTAAATTTCCAGCTTCTGCCACTGCTTTTAAAATCTTAGTACGATCTGTAAAATTTGAATTTTAGCATATTTCAAATTGGAAAATAATCCTTTATGAGTTAGTTATCATATGCAACTGAAATTATGACAATTGGAGCCCCGTAGAATTTATCGTAGTATTTTTTTTTTAGCTGCGACAGTCATATCCGGGATTTCAGACCAGCCTATCTGAAAAATATTTTAGTGCTTCAAACGAGGTCATCAAGATTCCAAATTTATATATGTTGTACTTATATGGGTTTATAACTGTCCGGTAAAATTTCACAAATTTTCATCTAGGTTCGATAGATCGAATAATTTTTGTAAACTCACTACATAAATGGAGTAAACTGTTCCAACTTGCTGTTTTGCTTTTTAAAATAAATAAATAAATCATTAATTTTGTATCTGGAGGTTAACCTAAAGGGACTCGTGTT